TGACTGGCTCATCTCCTCCCTGAGACCCTTCTGTAAGGGGATGTCCAGTTGCCTACAGATGGGCTTTGGGTCCCCAATCTGCACTCTCCCTCATTCACAATGATATGATTACTTGTTCTTTGATGCCTGATACCTGATCCCTTCCACACTTCGTGATCACACAGGCTGGTGTGCTTCTTCCATGTATGCTTTGTTACATCTGAGCTAGATGGCCGCTTGTTTACCTTCAAGCCTTTAAGACTCTAGGCGCTATATCCTTTGATAGCCGGGCACCATCGGCTTTCTTCACCACATTTGCTTATGCACCCACTTTGTCTTCAGCGATCATGTCGGGAAGGTGAGCATCCTGGCTTTTTCTGTTTGAGCCCATTGTTGCAGCCACGGCAGCCATTATGTTTAAACGGTTGTCGGAATCCATCTGGATGAGAGCCTTCCTCTTTTGTCTGCCTCTCTCTTTTACCCAGCACGATGTCATGAAAGAATTACAACCAGAACGTTCCATAGAGGACAAGAATGGTGAGACGTCCTTGAGACGTGTTGTGTCCTTGAGACGTGTTGTTGGGAAAGGCCAGTCCGTCCCTGGAGGAGGACATCGTGCTTGGTGAAGCAGTGAGTCGGTAGAAAAGGAAGCCGGCCCTCCACAAGATGGATTTTGGCACAAAGGCTTCGGCCACTGGCTCCACCGGATCACTCAGCACCAGGGGGTGTTTTGCTCTGTTGAAACCTGGGGCTGCTTTGGGCGGGAACCCACTCCAGGGTACCAAACAAGAACAATCAATCTTTCCAGAAACAGACTCCATGTCTTCCTCCCGAACAGCAGCTGGTGACTTTCAACTCTGTCCCTGAGCATCGAAGGGCTTAACCCCACTGTGTAACCAGCGCTCCTTCAATTTCTCCTGGAAATAAACCTGTCAGCCTCAGCCCGCGCCCTGCAGCCAGTTCCCCGCGCGGCCGCCAGATGGCGAGCGCTCCTGCTTTTTAACACGAAAGAGACCTTCCGTGGTCACTTTTGTCCCTTCCCACCTCTGGACCAAGTGACTGCAAAGGCCTCATGTCACACACACACACACACACACACACACACACACACACACACACACCACACACCACACCACCACCACTCCCTTTGACAACGTGGGCTCCAGCCACCCTGGCCTGCTCACTGCCTCTCCCACCATTCAAGCACTGTCCTGACTTTGAGCCTTTACAGTGGAGGTTCCATCTACCTAAAACACGTTTTGGGAAAGCCCCAAGGTTCCCTCCCTTACCCTATCACCTTTCCGTGGGGTTCCCCAGACATCCCAAAGCCTCTTCCCTGGCTCTTTTATCTCTTTCATAAGTAAAACCTGATACTCCCACAATAAAATGATTTTTAAAAAAGAAAGAGGGAACCGATAACAAGGATCTACATAGAACCTCCTCCCTGGGGGACGGACAACAGAAAAGTGGGTGAAGGGCGACATCACACGGTGTAGGACATGACAAAATAATAATTTATAAATTATCAAGGGTTCACCATGGAGGGGCGGCGGGGAAGGAGGGGGAAAAAATGAGCGGATACCAAGGGCTCAAGTAGAAAGCCAATGTTTTGAGAATGATGATGGCAACAAATGT